CCCTCCCTCCCTCCCTCCCTCCCTCCCTCCGCTCTGTCGCTCTCTCCGGTGCAAGCCAGATCTCTTCCCAGGAAGGAATGCATGCGCTCCAGATGTTCTGCGGGATACCCTCCAGGGCAAGGCTGGTGGTTGAAGGGGGGGGGGGAGCCAGGACCTGCAACCGACAATCCTGCCATTCTCCCAAGGGCCGATTCTACACACACACACACCAATGTTCCCTCTAAGCTGTGGAGTCCCGTGAGCAAACATTCTACTTTGTGAGCTACTGACATTAAAGTTGTGAGCGAGCGATTTGGCTGCTGCATAAAGTAGTTTGCTCTGGAGCCCTCCTTCCGGAACGAAGACAAAAATCTGTGAGCCGGAGGCTAAAAAACTCTGAGCTAGCTCACACTCACTCAGCTTAGAGGGAACACTGACACACCCCCGTACAAAGAGCGGAGATTCTCCAGCCAAGGACGCCCTCCGGCGTGGCAAGGGGAAAGGGGTTGCAATCCTGCCTTCTGCTGCTCGTAGGATCCCCCTTGACCAGTTCGGAGCGGAGGGAATAGCAGGGAGGGCGGACAGGCAGGTTTCGGGTCTCTCCGCACAGCTCTGGTTCAGACGCGGCATCGGAACAGCCCCGCTGGATCAGACCAGTGACCAGTGCTCCCTCTAAGCAGAGTGAGTGTGAGCTAGCTGACCGTTTTCTAGCCTCTGGCTCACAGATTTTTCTCTTAGCTCAGGAAGGAGGGCTCCAGAGCAAACGAATTTTATGCAGCCACCAAATTGCTCGCTCACCACTTTCCTGCCAGCAGCTCACAAAGTAGAGTTTTTGCTCACAGGACCTCACAGGTTAGAGGGAGCATTGCCATTGACCCTCACATCTCCTGCCAGACTTCTCCAACAGAAAATTTCACAAGCGTGCCATCTGGGGGCAGCCCCCCCTGCTGTCTGCTCTCCACCGGCTGTTCTGCTGAGAAGAGAAGGAGACGAGATTGGGTTTATACCCCTGGCCCTTCACTTGGAGTCTCAGAGCGACTTACAATCTCCCTTCCCTTCCCCACAACAGACACCCTGTGAGGTAGGTGGGGCTGAGAGAGTTCTGACAGAAACTGCTCTTTTTCAAGGACAGCTCTGAGAGAACTGTGGCTTGCCCAAGGTCATCCAGCAGCTGCAAGTGGAGGAATGGGGGAATCAAACCGGGTTCTCCCAGATTAGAGTCCGCACACTTAACCACTACACCAAACTGGCTATATTAAATATGGAGTATTTAACATAGACATTTAAAATACATAGTATTGGGGAGATTTTTATATACTGTATACATTTATTATTCAAGCCTAGCCTGCCGTGATCTGGTCCATGGGGTCGCGAAGAGTCGGACTCGACTGTGCGACTGAACAACAAAGCCTATCTTACCATTAGTTACTATTCATATTAACTGTTAGACATTTATTATTTTAAGTTCCATTACATCTTAATGCCACTATGGTTGTCATAATCAGACTATAATCAAAGAAGAAGAAGAGACTGGGCTTATACCCCACCCTTCACTACCCAAAGGTGTCTCAGCACGGCTTACAAACTCCTTTCCCTTCCCCTCCCCACAACAGACAGACACCCTGTGAGGTAGGTGGGGCTGAGAGAGCCCTGACAGAAACTGCTC